GGCGGCGGCGAGCGGTCACGGGTGGCGACGGGGCCCAGTTGCCGCAGGAGGGAGGCAAGAGCCACCGAGTGCAGGTTTTACTGGGGGAACGGTTTTTTTTCATGTAAGTGTAGGTTAGTATGTATATGCATGTGTGTATGTATACATTTTGGCGCACATACATACATACATACATACATACATACATACATACATACATACATACATGCATGCATACATACATACATACATACGTACGTGCGTACGTACGTACGTACGTACATACGTACATACATACATACATCTATAAACACATACATACATACATGCGTACGTACGTACGTACATACGCACGTACAAGCATACATACAAACATACAATCATACATACATACATACATACATACATACATACATACATACATACATACAAACCTACATACATACATACATACAAACATACATACATACATACATACATACATACACACATACACACATACATATACACACATACATACGTACATACATACATGCATACATAAACACATACACACGCATACACATACACATCTACAACTATACGTACAACCATACATGCGTACATACATACATACATACATACATACATACATACATTCATACATACATACATACATACATACATACACACATACATACATACATCCATCCATACAAACATACATACATACATACATACATACATACATACATACATACATACATACATACACACATACACACATACATACACACAGACATACATACAGACATGCATGTGTATACATACACATATATACACACATGTGTCGAAGTAGGTACATATAAGTATCGATGTGTATGTGCATTCATATCTGTCTCGACAGAGAGTGAGAGAGAGTGAGAACAAGTGGGAGGGAGAGCATGCCGCGCCGGATGTCCAGCCGACGCGATGTTTGCCCCCTCGCGGCTGGAAGGCTCTCGCCTCGTGGTCGGACCGTGGGGGAGTGGAGGGCGGAGGACGAGGAAGGGAGGAATGGAGGAGAAGGAAGAGGAACACGTGATGAAGGGGGCGGATGGGGCGGAGGCACAGGTGGAGAAGACCAAGAGGCGGAGGAGGAGGAAGAAGAGGATGGAGGAAGCGAGGGGGAGGGCCGCCCTGGGACGGACCCACCCTGCGGCGGGAAAGCCCTGATTTTTGGATCGGTGTGATGCGTCTGGTAGCCGCGGGCGCTGGTAGGATCTACGGTCAGGAAAGTTTGCTCAGCGTGTCGATAGCCACTTCTCAGTCCCCAGGCGTCAATCAAACGTCCCAATCTTTCCCAAACCTGCATGTGTGCTCCTCCATGGTCATTCTGGCCCAGCCTTTCAGAGGTCAAGCTGTTTCATGTTGGTTCTGGTTCAAACATCCCGCGCTGATCGTGCCAGCAATGATGACGATGATGTGTCGTGGCTGTCTGCTCTTGCTTGTCGTGGCCATGCCAGTGGAAGTGCGCGCTTCGAAGGACGATGGTGGTTCTGGCTCTGCAGGGGAGATCAGTTTTACTCATACGTGGAACGGTGCTGCGGTTACACGCGGCTACAGCATGGTCGAGCCAAGCGCTCCTTGCACCTCACAGGGCATGGTCGTGATGCTCGACCCTGACGGGACTGGGACCTGTGGGGCTTGGCAGTCTATGGCCGACAGCATGTGCGTCCTAGTCGTGTGTCCTCTATCGACAGGCGGATGGCAAGCGACGGTGCCGGATGGAGATTCGGAAGATGTCGAGTTCATTGCAGCGTTGATCCAAAGCCTCCAGGCCGAGCACAGCACCCCGACTGACAAAGTCCTTATTCAAGACGCTTCGCATTCACGGCCCACGGCGTGCGTGCGTGCGTGCGTGCGTCCGCGCGCGCGTCCGCGCGCGCGCGTTTGGCTCCCCTCTGACCGACTTGCTTCGCCTCGTCGCTGCGCGCGAGGCCGCGACCGCTAACACAATGTGCGCGTGCGTGTGATTTGCTCTTCTTCCTGGGCTGCATGTCTCCTCCAGACCATCTTCGAATTGGCTCAGGTATGCCGTGTATGCCCGTCACCGCTATCCGTGGATCAGTGGCATGGACGCTGGCCCGCTGGACCCCTTTCTCTAACCCACGGCAGGAGACCAGGAATAGCCAGACCACTGCCCCAAATGAGCCCAAGATAGCCCAAAAGGCACCGACGAGTACCGAACGGGGGCTCGGAGACGGCCCCCCCGAGGAGGCCCAGGCGAGCATCTGGACGGCCCAAGCGCGAGCATCCCCGCGTGGGTCCCGAGCCCCGTCCGAGTACCATTGAAGCTGGGCAGACACAGTGCCTGTTTTTAGGCAGCGCTGTGGTGCGGGTGGGGCCAGAATCGTCGAACAAAGTATCTCGGATCGCGTCCAAAACTGTGCCGGAAGTGGCATGCAGAATGTTCCCGCAGTCAAGCCCGCAAGCCAGCGATCATAGGCGTCCGAGCAACCCCCAGAGGCTGCAATCGTCAAAACCAACAGATCTGCTGCGTTTTTGAAGCTTCAATGTTGTAGGCGAAGTTGGGGGCAGAACATATTTTCTGGGGGCCCAAGTGCCGATCTCGGAGGCCAGAAGCAGGAACCAGGCGGAGCCGAAATGTGGCAAGACTGCACTCCGAAATCGCCCTGGGAGCGGTGTGACATTGGAGATCGTCTTGGACGCCGTCTGGACGCCGTCTTGGGGCCCGAGAAGGGCAGGTGGCGCGGCGCGCGGCGGCATGGCGGAGGCCTCGGTGGGGTGGGGGGGGAGGCCGAAGCTCTGGAAGGAGCTCTCGCAGTCAAATGCCACGCGCCCTCGGTCTAGTGTCGCAGGCCTAGAGGTTGACACCAACACCAATTTCGGCGGTGTGCCTCCACCGAGGGAAGAAGATCCCGATCTCGGTGATGGTGGTATTATTCTGGCTTCCAAGGTGGCCGAAGTATTACCACCAACACCGAAATCTGGGATCATCTTCCTCACGTGGAGGCAAACCCCTGTGCTGGTGTTGGTGCCGATTTCTGGGCCTCCTACAGTGGGCCGGCGAACTCAAGAGGCTTTTGCGCCATTCCGCCGGCCCCTGGAAGAGTTGCGCGGCCTCCGAATTCGGTATGTGTCGTGTCCTCGTCTTCCTCCCCGTCTGTTGCGGGGCTTCCTGAGGGTCTTTTGGGGGCCTCGGGCGCAGACTCTCGGGACGTTTTTCAGGGCTCCTGGGGGGGCCCTTGGGAACATGCTGGGGCCTCTTGGGAACATGCTTCGGGGCCTCTTGGGAACATGCTTCTTCGGGGTCTCTTGGGAACATGCTGGGGTGTCTTGGGAGCCATCCTATGGGGATGACTCACGGGGCCTCCACGAGCTCCCCCTCTGGCCCTCAGTGAAGGTTTCTTTCTCCAGTCTTGGAGGCCTCTTGGGCACTGGCTGTCTCCACGCCCTCTTGGGGGTCTCTTGGGCCGGCCCAGGGGCCTCGCGGGCCGCCCACAATGTTTACGTTTTGAGGCCCTCTTGGGAGCTGTATTGTCGGAAACTGGATCATATGCATTACCAGTGGCGGGCTGTTTTTCAATCCCTGGATTTTTTGAGGGTCGGGGACGACGTTGGGTTGGTGTGGTGCATACTTCTCTTATCCGTTTCTCAGGGAAACAGCAAAGAATGTATACACCAGCATCCTGTATACACCAGGATCCGCTTTCCTGTTTGCAAGTTTCAGTGCAGGGCCAGAAAAGCGTCGGTGTATAGAGTTCGGTTCCAAACATTGGAGCCCTCCTGGAAGGTCTGGTGGGCCTCTCGGGTCGTCTTGATGCAATTGTTGTCGCTTCGCGAATCCCCACCAGCCCATCCAGAAACGATGCCCAGAGGAATTGCCTCGATCAGAGAAGTGGGCAGCACACAGAGGAAGCCATTATGAGACATCTTGGGATATCTTGAGCCATCTTGGAGGTCATTTTGGGCTCTCCCAGACGCTCTTGGAGTCATCTTAATCCGAGCCCCCCCCCAAGAGGCCTCCATGTGGCTAAAACCTGTGTAGAATCAATGATTAGGCATTCTCGCCGAGGCCTCTTGGAGCATCTTGGGTGCATCTGGGGGGGCTCTTGGGGCCTCTTGGGGGTCTCTTGGGGGCCTCCGGGGGGCCTCTTGGGGGCCTCTTGGGGCCATTTTGGGGCCATCTTGGGACCTCTTGGGGCTTCCTGGGCGCTTCTTGGGGCCATCTTGGAGGAGATCGATCAAACAAGAGGGGGGGTTTAATTAGCGTCCCCCCTCGGAAGCCCCTAAAATCGCCTCTTGGACCCCTCTTGGAACGCTCTTGGAGTGCTCTTGGGCGCTCTTGGGGCCGTCTTGGGGCTCTTTTGGGGCTCTCTTGGGGCCCTCTATCTTGGAACCATCTCCAGGCCTCGGATGGCCATCGGAAGCGAAAAGGCGAGAAAGCAAAAATCATTGATTTTCCTTAGGTTTTGGGACGATTTTGGCCTCTTCGGGGCCTCCTTGGGGAGCTGTTTGGCCACTTGGAGTTATCTTGGGGCCGTCTTTGGGCTTCTTGGAACCATCTTAGGAGCCATCTCGAGCGATCTTGCGCTATCTTGAGCCATCTTGGAGCTCATCTTGGGTTCTCTGAGGCGCTCTTGGAGCCGTCTTGGGCCATCTGGGACGCTCTAACTACCAGCGGCCCCCCCCGTCCAGGTCCAGGGGAGGGGGTAGGGGGAGGGGTAAACCCCTCCCCAAGGGGGAAGAGGGAGGGGTGGAAGAGGATCTGCTCTAGACCACCTACGCCCAGAGGGCTGGTGGGACTCTGGGCGCTCCTGGGCGATTTTGGAGGGCATCTTGGGCATCTCGCAGGCCAAGGGTGGTGGTTTTGGAGGAACCTAGGGGGCCCTGGAGGTGCGTCGAGTAGTCCCCATAGCGTGATTTTGGACCCACGGGGAGGGGGAACTTGGAAGGCGGGACAGCCAATCACCTCACGCGCCTTTCCACACCCAGCGAGCGGTGGTCGGCGGATTACAGGCTTCAGCTTCGGAGGCACCATGTCGTACCGAGTTTGGTGCGAGCGGTCAGACGTGGTCACAGGTATTGTGGCTATGGGACAAACTTTTTTCGAACCCGCTGTGGGCCACAATTCGAAGGACGATGATCTTGCTGGGCAGACCAACACGCAGTTTGCACTTCAGAGGTTCGCTGCCGCGAGGAGTGCGGGAGATGGGTGCGCCCCAGCAGACAACCGCCCCCACTATGCCGTGGTCGGGGCGACGGACATCTTTTACGGAGAAAGTGGCGGCGTTTACTCGGGCAAGGCGCTTTGGGAGTTCATGTCCACCGAAGTCCTCGGTTGCACTGGTAGCCTCACAGGGTCAGACGGGATAACCGTCACCGGGGATGCGTCGACTTGTTTCGAATACCCATCTTGCGCAGGCATGATTGCCAGCTTGAACAGGTATTGCACGGTGCCTGGCAGAGGACACGTAACTGGAGACTGGTCAGCGACATTGGCAACAGCATTTGCTGACTTCTATGGAGCGTCGCCCCCGACTCCAGCGCCGCCCCCGACTCCAGCGCCACCCCCAACTCCATTGCCGCCCCCAACTCCGGCTCCCACGCAGGCTCCTACCGCTACTCCATCGCCCACGCCGACGACGGCATCTTCGACCACGTTGGCACGAGGCATTTTCGGCATCGTACTTGGAGCACTTCACGCCGCCGCCCTGACGGCTTCCTAAATCCCACCAGCCCTCTGGGCGTAGGTGGTCTAGAGCAGATCCTCTTCCACCCCTCCCTCTTCCCCCTTGGGGAGGGGTTTACCCCTCCCCCTACCCCCTCCCCTGGACCTGGACGGGGGGGGCCGCGGGTAGTTAGAGCGTCCCAGATGGCCCAAGACGGCTCCAAGAGCGCCTCAGAGAACCCAAGATGAGCTCCAAGATGGCTCAAGATAGCGCAAGATCGCTCGAGATGGCTCCTAAGATGGTTCCAAGAAGCCCAAAGACGGCCCCAAGATAACTCCAAGTGGCCAAACAGCTCCCCAAGGAGGCCCCGAAGAGGCCAAAATCGTCCCAAAACCTAAGGAAAATCAATGATTTTTGCTTTCTCGCCTTTTCGCTTCCGATGGCCATCCGAGGCCTGGAGATGGTTCCAAGATGGCCCAAGAGGGCCCCAAGAGAGCCCCAAAAGAGCCCCAAGACGGCCCCAAGAGCGCCCAAGAGCACTCCAAGAGCGTTCCAAGAGGGGTCCAAGAGGCGATTTTAGGGGCTTCCGAGGGGGGGCGCTAATTAAACCCCCCCTCTTGTTTGATCGATCTCCTCCAAGATGGCCCCAAGAAGCGCCCAGGAAGCCCCAAGAGGTCCCAAGATGGCCCCAAAATGGCCCCAAGAGGCCCCCAAGAGGCCCCCCGGAGGCCCCCAAGAGACCCCCAAGAGGCCCCAAGAGCCCCCCCAGATGCACCCAAGATGCTCCAAGAGGCCTCGGCGAGAATGCCTAATCATTGATTCTACACAGGTTTTAGCCACATGGAGGCCTCTTGGGGGGGGGCACGGATTAAGATGACTCCACGAGCGTCTGGGAGAGCCCAAAATGACCTCCAAGATGGCTCAAGATATCCCAAGATGTCTCATAATGGCTTCCTCTGTGTGCTGCCCACTTCTCTGATCCAGGCAATTCCTCTGGGCATCGTTTCTGGATGGGCTGGTGGGGATTCGCGAAGCGACAACAATTGCAGCATTTCTGGTACATCAATGCTTGCCAGCCCATCCTGGTTGTTGTGGGTAAGCTGAAGCAAACGCTGTCGCGTTTTCCGGTTCAGCGCGCTGTATTTGGGGTGGCATCCAGGCAGATGATGGTATGATCTTCTTTTCCGCGACTCGGGATCTACACGCGACTTCATCGTAGGGGGGGCACCTTCCAGTGCGTAGGTGCGGTCCGTCGCAAATGGTGGCGGTTTTGCCTTCGTGTTTCTTGGAGTATTTTCCCCGATCCTTGCAATTCGCGCCAGTGCGCCAGATCCATCGATCCATAATCCATGTTAGCAGCGCGCGCCCAGATGTTGGACAGTTTGATTAATGGAGTCTTTCTCGTCAGCCAGTGCTTGTTAGCAGTTGATGGTTGATTTTAGCAATCTTGTAATGAGTGCCATCGCGTTTTCCTGCTCAACGCGCCGGTAGCCCAGGTGCGTAATGCTTCCTGGGAATTTCCAGCATGGGGCTTGTCTTCCGCGACGCAAGACTGCTAGTCGAGTTCCTTGCGACATGCAAAAACTATTACTCGGCGCGACTACTATTGAGGATACATGATCTCGTTGAAGGGGTGCAGTTGTGCTACATTGGGGTGCAATGCCGTACAAAAGCAATCGCTGCAGCGCATCTCGTAGCATCGCCTAGCATATCACGACATAGTCACATTGCGCAGCATTGCATCTCATTGCACTTGACATGGTATCATGGCATTGCATAGGGTGACATGGCATCGCACGCCATATCATACCATCGAGATCAGTGGCGATGTATTTTTTGTATTGCAATTGCACATCTGTAGATACACATTCATGTACACATTTGCATACCTATACGTGTATACACGTGCATTGTAGCATCGTCGAGCATGGCACGTCCTAAACTTGATGTCACGCTGTTGCGCATAATGAAATCTACTTGCATGTTATGGCATTGCATGCTATAGCGTGCCGTTGCCTTTAATGGCACATCATAGCAATCCGTAACCTATCATACCATTGCGTAACAAGGCGTGCAGTATCGGATGTTCGTATGACATAACACATATGTGCATCGCATGTTCTAGCATGGCAGATCCGACCATCGCATTTCATGGCATGACATCGCATTTCCCAACGCATCGCTACGCACTAAAACAGAGCTGCATGTGTTTGAATGTCTCGCACGGCAGGCAATGACATGACATGACGTGACCCATTATTGTAAATGTGTAGCTTTACATGTCGTACCAGCGCGTACTTACGCATGACCTATCAGCACATGGCGTAACACAGCTCATCATTGTACAGCGGTGCCTTGCTTCACAGACATATGTATCGAAGACGCCTACGGCGAATCACCGCCGTCCCCTGCCTTCTAGAATCGCCCATGTGGCCGAGCGTTGTGGCAATGCTCTGCCAAACTATCGGACCATGTGACCCCTCAACCGCTGTGAAAACCATTCGGGGAACACTTCGGGGAGGATGGCGGGGAAGATCAGGAGGAGGAGGAGGAGGAGGAGGAGGAGGAGGAAGAGTAGGAGGAGGAGGAGGAGGAGGAGGAGGAGGATCAGGAGGAGGAGGAGGAGGTGGAGGATTGGGCATCTTGGGAGCCTCTGGGGACACTCTTGGGGCCTCCTGGGAGCTTCCTGGGAGCCTCTTGGACGCATCTTGGGGGCCTTTTGGCCTCTTGGGAGCCTTTGGGGGCTGGCTTCTCGGGGGCCTCTTTGGCCGTCTTGGTGGGCTCCTGGCCCGTCGGACGCCGTCGGAAACAGTCTTGGGGTCCTCTCTGAGTCGACTTGGGGCCCTCTTGGGGTGCTCCAGGGCCGCCTTGGGGCCCTGTTGGGGCCGTCTTGGGGGCCTCTTGGGCCTTCCTGGGGCTTTCCTGTAGGCCTATTGGGCGATCTTGGGGCGATCTTTGGGGCCTCTTGGGCCGTCTTGTGCCGTCGGAAGGCTGACAAGAACCAAATACAACATTAGTCAAACACCTAAGGAACATGAATGATTTTGGCCTCTTTGGGCCTTCCAGGAGACCCTCTTGGATGCATCTTAGGCCGCCTTGGGCCATCTTAGAGCCATCTTCGGCCGTCTTGATAGGCTCCTGGCCCGCCTGACGCCGTCGGAAGCTGTCTTGGGAGCCTCTCTGGGCCGACTCGGGGCCCTCTTGGAATGCTCCAGGGCCGTCTTGGATGCTTTCTTGGGCGTCTTAGAGGCCTTTTGGGCCGCCGTGGAGCCCTGATGGGACCGTCTTGAGGGCCTCTTGTGCCGTTCTGGGAGGAGGAGGAGGAGGAGGAGGAGGAGGAGGAGGAGGAGGAGGAGGAAGAGGAAGAGGTGCAAGGCTCCCAATTGAGAGCGGTGACGTAGCACGCGCTTACAAGCAAGGTTCCCAAGAGCGAGTGGTGACGCAACAAGCTCTTACCACCAAGGTTCCTAAGGGCGAGCGGCAACGCAAGCATCTCTGTGCACGAGGACTGAACAGAGAACGGTGACGCAACAAGTTCTTCCCAGCAAGGCTCTCAACAGAGAGCGGTGACGTAACACGCGCTTACCAGCAAGGCTCCCAAGAACGAGCGGTAATGTAACAAGCTCTTACCACCAAGGCTCCCAAGAACGAAGGGTGCCATGACCTATCTCGGGCAGGTTGCCGCAGCGCTCTTTCCGTTTCCGTGCCGGTCCCAGGTAACGGAAAGAGCGAGGTACGAGTGATGACGTTGTGTTTTGGGCGAAGCCCTCTAGGGAGGGGTCCAGGGGAGGGGGGTAGGGGGAGTGAATGGGCTCTAATGGCCGTTTTCGGGTTTTCCCTAGGTTTTTTGCATGCTTTTCGGGTTTCCCCTCAAGACGGCCCAAGAGCGCTCCAAGAGAGCCCAAGACCGCCCAAGACGGCCCAAGAGGCCCCCAAGAGGCCCCCAAGAGGCGCCCAAGTGGCGGTCCAACAGGGCCCCAAGAAGCCAAAATCATTGATTTTCCTTAGGGAAACGTTAATTTTTCAGAATGTACGGCTTTTCGGCTTTCACGGCGTTGACGACGGCCCAAGAGGCCCCCAAGACCGCCTCAAGAAGGACCAAGAGGCTCCCAAGAGGCCCCCAACACGGCCCAAGAGGGCCCCCAGACGGCCCAAGAGGCGCCCAAGACGGCCCAAGAGGGCCCCAAGACGGCCCCAAGAGGGGGACCACGAACCGAAAAGTCTAGCCTTTCGCCCCAAGACGCTCCCAGGAGGCACCAAGAGCCCCCCAATAAGCCCCAAGAGGCCCCCAAGATGCGTCCCAAGAGGCCACCAGGAGGCCCAAATCATTTATTTCCGATGGGAAAAGATACATTTTTAGCATACACGGCTTTTCGGTTTTCACGGCGTTGGCGACGGCCCAAGAGGCCCCCAAGACCGTCCCGCGACGGTCCAAGAGGCTCCCAAGAGGCCCCCAAAACGGCCCAAGAGGGCGCCCAGACGACCCAAGAGGCGCCTCAGACGGCCCAAGAGGGTCCCAAGACGGCCCCAAGAGGGGGACCACGAACCGAAAAGTCTAGCCTTTCGCCCCAAGAAGCTCCCAGGAGGCCCCCAGAGCCCCCCAAGAAACCCCAAGAGGCCCCCAAGAGGTTCCTAAGAGGCCTCCAAAAGGGCTTTAAAAGGGCCCCAATAGGACTCCCAAGAAGGCCCAGAGACGCCAAATAAAGAGCGATCGGTAAGGCAAAAAGCTCTTCACACCAAGGCTCCCCAGAGCGAACGGTGACGTAAACAAGCTGATAAGACCAAGGCTCCCAGCAGAGAGCGATAACGTAACAAGTTCCTGACACCAAGGCCCAGCCAAGGCTCAGGAACGGGCGGCAAGGCAACAGTCTCTGAACACCAAGCTCCCCAGAGCGAGGGGTGACGTAACAAGCTCTCAACGCAAAGGCTCCCAGTACGAACGGTGGTGTGAGTACTTTCGGCTTCTGTTTCTGAAGCGCTCTTTCCGTTTTCTGTGCCGGGCCAGGTAACGGAAAGAGCGAGGTACGAGTGATGACGTTGTGTGTTGGGGCGAAGCC